CAGTTCAGGTAGAGGGTCGCCTAATGAAAGTCGATGAGATGAATGTTTCGAGCTTAATTAGTATTAATTGAAGTCATCAGATCTCTGCTTTTTCTTCTAACTTTAGCGTGCGTTATTTTGAATGCATCGCCGAATCTGGCTTTAAATACAAACGTTTTTTTTTTTTTTTTCCTACCTAAGCTGATAGCCTTAGGGGCTATTTCAGCGTAACCGTGGCTAGTAGGTGAGCTCACGGGGCTCAAACCTGATGACAAACGTGACTGATTGTAAACGGTTATGTTCTAAAACCCGAGTTATAAGTCTTGTTCTAAAACGCGAGTTATAAGTCTTGTTCTAAAACGCGAGTTATAAGTCTGATGGACATTTTGTAGATCCAATCTTTTAATTTAAGAACCGTTTATCTAATCATTGAATTTGTTGGATAATTAGTTTTGCTTTATAAGGCACGTGACTCATACTGGCTACTAATGTTAGTGTTGTGATCGATACATAAAGTTACAAGTCGAAAAAGTAAATTCCCATTAATATCTATACTAATATTATAAAGAGTTTGTTTGTTTGAACGCGCTAATCTCAGGAACTGCTGGTCCGATTTGAAGAATTCTTTGTGTTAGATAGCCCATTTATCGAGAAGGCTATAGGCTATATAACATCACGCTAAGACCAATGCAAGCGGAGCACCAATAAAGAATGTTTCAAAATCGGGTTTTTTTTCCCCTTTTGAGAGCTTCCACTGCGTGCGCTGCGGAAACGGTTAAAGTTTCGCTAAAATAATGTACGAAAGAATCGTTCCCCTTTAAAAGATCTAAAAAAAGGTCCGCGACAGCATATGTCTATATGTTAAGGTTGGCTCTCTATAACGTTTTTTATGCTAACCATAAAGCATTATTTGTGAAGGTGTTTTTATAAAGATGATATTCTACGGAAATGAAGAGGCGGGTAAAATTTAGCGTTATGCCAAACTAACTATTCCACGCGGACGAAGTCGCGGGCATAAGCTAGTATAACAATAAATTCAAACGTTGCCGTGGACATCTGTTCATAGTTCGTAATACAATTCATCGTTATTCAAATGGTAAATAATAAATGATGAAGTATACTTTACAAGTCAGTTCATATTAAATAGTAATTTGACGTAACTTCATGCACTTACATTGTAACGGATTAGATATAGATACCAACCAAGTTATTAATGTATTCTTAAAGAATATTATTTATTCGCTAACTAACTAAAATTTTACGATTAAATAATGGAACATTAGTCCAAAATTACAAGGTCGAATGAATTAACCTTGAATGCTGACTCTAATCATACTGAGTAATTTCTTAACTACATTAAAATTTTGATCGTACATATTATCTAAAGTTTAGCAGATAATCCAGGGGTATAAATGTACAAATATTAATCACTTCTTTGTATACAATATCATTTAAGGCAAACTAGTACGTTTTTTATTTTATTTTTATTGCTTAGGTGGGTGAACGAGCTCACGGACCACCTGGTGTTATGTGGTTACCGGAGCCCATAGACATCTACAACGTACATGCCGCCACCCACCTTAAGATAGGAGTTCTAAGGTCTCAGTATAGTTACAACGGCTACCCCACCCTTCAAACCGAAACGCATTGCTGCTTCACGGCAGAGATAGGCAGGGTGGTGGTACCTACCCGTGCGGATTCACAAGACGTCCTAGCACCAGTAATTACGCAAATTATAATTTTGTGGGTTTGGATTACGCGGGTACGTGTTAATATGAGAACTAAAATTCTTTAAGAAAACTATAAATGTTTAACTTATAATGTTAAAAACTTATGTTTTTGTTGCTTGAATGGGTCAACGAAAATAGGGCCCACTTAGTCTGAAGTTATTCACCTTGAGACGTTACGACGAAATCTGAATTGAATTCTATAACCGCTGTACTATCCTTCAAACCGGAACGCATGACCGCATCGCGGCAGGAATAGGCTGGATTGTGGTACCTAACCCCTACGGACTTCAAAATGCTCTTCCAAATGTAGACGAAGAGATTTATATCTATACCGTAACCATTTTAAGGCAAGAATAAATTAACATCATATGCATTTCGTAACATAGAAACAATCGTTGGTTCAACTGAATTTTTTAACAACTATTTAATAGAAAATATGAGTTGCATTGCAAATCATACACTATTAAAATATAACGAATACTAGTTAATAATGATTCAACTGTAAAATATCTGACAGAATTCCCATGCCAATCAATAAGCAGATTATTTTTAATCACTTTACTGAGCGCACTGTCCGATACGAACTATCAGACAAAAATCATAATATATGAGTATTGAATATGTTAATTTTTAGCATATTATAACATTCTTCCGATTATAAAGCAATTGGGATTAGTAACGGACGCAGGTATAGAAGCGTTTGTACACGCGCCCAATTCCAGACACCCGCTGAGTAATCTAGTTTCGTCTCATGATAAACGTCTATTTATAGAAAAGAATCAAACACGCGTTAATCCACATGGACCCACGTGACGCTCACGTTACAATATAATATTAAAACGCGAGTACGCGATGCCCGGTGCCATGTCTCTGTATGTTCCAGCGTGACCGGTCTCAAACACGAAAATCGATATTAATACAATGTACACTTTGTAAAGTTGAACTTCAAGGATGACTGTGTGTTGCGGGAGTTAATAACGGCAATAAACAACAGTCGGCCTAATCTATGTACAAGTAGGTATCTATCGTGATTTGGCACTAATGGTTAATAGTTTTATTCGCATTGAGCTATTTTATTGGTTAACGTTCATAGCCGAATGGTCTTCGATTTAACGAAAACGATTGTGTGTTTTAAAATTATATTATACATATAATTCACGTTCATTACATTACTTATGATATGGACCAATCACTTATGTTAAGGACCGGTTTTAAATGTTTTTTTTTTTTAATTTACTTATTTAATATTTAATATTTAATGCAACTGTAAGATAAACGATATTAAGGCCCCGTTGTATTGTTTAATTAACAAGGTGTGATGGTAAAAATAGCTAAGAACAAGTCACCAAGACGTATACTTATATATTCTACAATGTGGTAGACCTGGTAGAGTATACATATATCTATGAGTATTCAATATGTACTTGGTAAGGTGTATTGTGAAGCTCATACCAGTAGGTGCACTACCTAGTAGTCTATTTTTGCCAAGAATCAGTTATGTGTTGCGATTTCAAGAGTGAGACAGTCATTGCCTAATACAATTGATATTTTGACCTCATGTCAAAATAGCATCCACGTTGCAATGTCTATGAACTCGCATAGTTTATTAGCAAGCACCAGCTAAGCGGAGACATTGGCTGTTCATATTGAGCTTTTTTTTTCCTACCTAAGCTGATGGTCTTGAGAGATCATTTCAGCGTAACTTTAACTAGTAGGTGAGCTCACAGGGCTCAAGCCTAACATCGTTGCTAACACTAACCCTAGCAAGAGCAGTGCTTCGCAGAATCTACCACCGGATCGGAAACGTGACCCATTGAGAAGATCCGGCGAGAAACTCAGCGTGCTGTGTCTGTGGGTTAATTTACTCGCCGAGCCCTTCATCGCAAGCGACGGGTTCGACGAGAACGATGACTGGTGCTAGGGGTACCTAAAGGCACCGTTAGTGGATCAGGAGGATCCGAAAAGACGTGTTTTGAGCGACGTCGACAGCTTACCATTCGGTCCGCAGGATCCGGAATGTCTTTGTATTGAGCACTAAAAAAAGAACACGACAGATATCGATGATAGAACTACATATATCGTTGAGCTTGGAATGGAAAAGCCGTGCTAGCATTCGCGTTAAGGAAATATTACTTTGTCAAAAGATCACATGCCGGTATGTTGAATCTCTCGTCATAAAGTGTCTCTTGTATGTTTCTAATGTAGTCGTTTGATTATAAATGTGAGAAACCCGGTATAGTATCAACTTTTGTTACTATTTTTTCAAAAAGGGTGCGATCGGAAATAAATAGATACATGAAAAGGGACTAGAGAGTTCACGTATAGTGAGTGATACGTCGCTAGCATTTGGTTTGTAAAATAAAAGTGGTTTATTGTTATATCTCCAGCTCGCGTTGTAGTAGCAAAATGTCGGTTTAATTTACCATCGGATGGGTCATATATTGTATTCAGAGGTAGTAAAAAAATTAAGTCTAGTAATAATAGGCTTTTAAGAAGCAGTAAAATCTAAATCATTATCTTACTTTTTACGTCATAGCCAAACAAACAAAAATTTGGGCATACCTAAAGTTCAGACACTTCTGCTACGTTCTAAAGATTTTTTTTGTTTAGACCACGTTCTCACATTTTCGTAGGAAGTAGTGGAATAACACACAATTTTTATTATATTATTATCAATGAATTTCGCAAATGCTGGCTCATATAGTGATAAGATGTGAACCGTTATAAAAGTGGACTGTAATTGTTACGACGTATTCTTTGTTATTCGAGTTGGGTCAAGTATTATTAAATCTCTGCTTAAATGAAGTCGTGGACTTAATATTGTTATCATATTCCCCGAGGATATTTTGTTAAAACTTAAACTAATGACAGCTCAATAAACTTTTCGTTAATTATTAGATTCTATATCGTGTTTTCAGAGATTATCATCTACACACATACATTCAAGCAAACAAATTCTAAAATTAGTGAAGATAACAAATGTGTGATAAGGATACCTATAAAAATCAGCTTGCCTTTTTTTTCTCTAAAATCAAAATTAATAAGAGACCGCATGCCGTGCTTTGCAAAAAGTTAAAATTTAAGTTACTTCAATGATATTCAACGGGTATTCTTTTGTTAGCATCATTGAGAATCATGAAGACAAATGGGTTTAAGTGAGATTAATTCATTTCTAAAAAAAAAAAACGCGAATTGACTCGATCAGGCATGAATGTTTCTTCGAAATAAAAATGACGATTTTTCCTGATTCCATCAACCCCGATATTAGCATGCACAATTCAGAATACTCACTTTGATGCTTATCAGCTAATTGTATTAAGGGATTGGGTAGGTCTCGCCGCCTGTAAAAACACAAGACTTTTGCCTCGACGTTGCCCGAAGTCGTCTTGTTAAGTTCCTCTATCCGCCGGATCTGGTACGGAGACGTCGACGACGTCTCGAAATAGACGCAGTCTGCGGACAAACAAATTGGGTATCGCTTAGATTTAATGTAAGATTGCAGTACGTTAACAATTCGTAGACATTCGGCTGCACATTTTTTTTAATTTTTTTTTTATTGCTTAGATGGATGGACAAGCTCACAGCCCACCTGGTGTTAAGTGGTTACTGGAGCCCATAGACATCTACAACGTAAATGCGCCACCCACCTTGAGATATAAGTTCTAAGGTCTCAGTATAGTTACAACGGCTACCCCACCCTTCGAACCGAAACGCATTACTGCTTCACGGCGGAAATAGGCGGGGTGGTGGTACCTACCCTTGCAGACTCCCAAGAGGGCATACCACCAGTGATAACATGCACATGCTCTGGTTCAACTACTGGTTGTTAGCAGATTCGCAATTTACGTACACCAGTGATTTTAATCATGGCTAATCAAGTAAGCCGTTTTATGTTCACAATCAAATTATTATTACATTAAAATTTACGATTTAAAATAATAATTTACATTTCAGAAATGTCGGCATAAAACAATGACTTTTTGGATTTTTAATTCGGAAACAATTCTTATTATGTAATTGTATAACGATATTACATTTTGTTTATTACATAATCTCTGGTTTTTTTTTTTATTGCCCTTGTAGGCAGACGAGCGTACGGCCCACCTGATGGTGAGTGGTTACCGTCGCGCATGGACTTCAGCAATGCCAGGGGCAGAGCCAAGCCGCTGCCTACCTCTGGTACTCTTTTATAGTAATAGTAATTAATAGTAGGTAATAGTAGTAGTAGATGAGATGTAGTTAGGTTTGAACTGAATAGATAGTAAACAATTAAACAAAAACATTTATTCAATATTGAATAACACCAATATATTGCCGTGATAGCACATACATATAGGGGTTGGCTTCGTATTTATAATAAGAATTGTTTGAAAATCCAACGAGCGTTAAATTTTGTTTTTGTTATTATTGCTTAGGTGGGTGAACGAGCTCACGGCCCACATGATATGAAATGGTTACCGGAGCCCATAGACACGTAAATGCCGCCACCTACCTTGAGATATGAGTTATAAGCTCTCTGTTTTAACAGTACATCGGTTGCCCCACTGTTCAAACCGAAACACATTACTGCTAAGTTTTATTATATAAAAAATTATACGCTACCCACCTATTATTTAAGTGGATTTATTAATTTGGCACAAAATCACTGAAAAATGCGCTGCCATTGAACTACCACAATGTTGTTAATTGTTCCAAATGAAGGAACATTCATCGAAGTAACATCCCAATGCGGAAAATAAATAAGAAATCTCTCAAATCAAAATTAACCTGGTCTACTAAATTTAGGGGGCCGTGTTAACTCTAGGCTTGATTTCAACTTAAGTTCAAAATTTCGTAATGTCATTGTTGTGTGTGTGTTAGGTTTTCAATTTTTTCTTTTGATCAAGTGTTAGGGTTCATACTTCTTTCATAATATTTTAGTTTAAGCATTAAACAAAGCTTAAAAATCCATAACTCAATCATTTACTTTAATGGCCACAACTGACATCCTTGAGTAATCATATTAAGGTCAACATATAAGAAAGATTATGAATACACGTACAAAAACAACCGTTATTTTGGTGCGGTCCCTTCCTTTATAGCACGCGTTAAGCCCGTAACCGGAAAAGGGGAACAGAATCTTAGAACATTATCGGCCTTGGTAATAATACAATTACCGGAGTTCTACACAAATTCAAAAATAAATAATAAACGTGTGGCACTCGGGAACTGCCGCGGTAAAGCGCATAGCATTTTTTATCAACTTATGCAATTATAATTAGACAATGATAATTTAATATTAAAACAATAATAAAACAAGACCACGCTATATTAAACATTAATAAAAGCAAAACATTAACTGCCCCCTTCACACTCATAAGCCAGACCGCGCGAGAGAGAGATGGGCAGACTTTTCATGATGCGCATGCAGTGTGACGTCACGCCACGTGCTTATTCACAAACACTAAACAAGCGCAACGTGTAAATGTGTTGAACGCGAGCTACATAGTAGGCGTAGTGGGGTTGTCAGGTTATTTTCGTTACGGAATTTCTTGATACAGTCGCAGCGCTCAAAGCCCGCGATAAAATCTATGCAATAGCTTAAAAAGTCAATTTTTTTTAAGGTACAGAGAGAATGCTAAAAAAGATCGTGTGAGTTATAATTCCGAGTTCGGCCTGTCGGTGCGGAACGTTCCGATGTTCGAGTGATACTTATGTAATTGGTGCACTATCACATGATCGACTAATTTAAAATGGCGTTTTTACTTTACCGTTACGCTCAACGCGACTAAATAACTCGCGCGGATAATGACACGCTTCGAACCTTTTATTCGGAGCGGTGACTAAGTTTAAGTCGCTTTAGAACGATTAATCTCATGACAATATCTTTAGAATGTAAAGGATTAGAGTAGAACAACCGAATGGTTTTTGAACATTTTACCGGCTATACTACTATATATGTCAGTATCGTAAACAAAAACATTATTACGATACACATTCACATTCAACGACTCCAAGCCAAGATTTCTCGTGTGTACAAAGATAATTTCATATCTTTCACAAAGACACTGACAATGATAATGGCAAACTAGTCAGGTTCGTTAACAAATCAATCGACGATCAAAAACAATGAATAAATAAAGACTTTCATGCCACGGACGCATGCGTTTTTAATAAAATTATTTTCTGAATTTACAGTTCTTACGGTAGTTACCCGTCGTCGTGTTTGTTTCTTTCAAATTAGGACCAAATTATAATTTTATTTTAATAATTTAATTAAAATAAACCGTTTCCTGAAAATCTAATTAGAGCTGTGAGATAAACGTTTGTTACGTTTAATAATTTAAATATACATTCTACTTTTAAAACTGTGGCGGGTAGCCATCATACAACGCAAGATAATTGACAGATGCCTGAATCTCGCTTACGACATTTTCAAGATAAAGCGCATATATACAAGTTCCGAACAACAACATTCGGACCGTCGGTCTACCGAGCAATATCACTCGCTCGGTGGAAGATCTTTCCTTTCGTCGTATATTCCCAAAAAACTAAACCTTCCGCGATTAAAAATTGTAACTCATAACTTGTTATATAAGGCACGTTACAATTAAATGTTATGTTAATTTAAATACATTTTTAACAACGTTGATGTTTTGCTTACACACGGTCTACCTAGTGTTAAGTGATCACCGGAGCTCAAACCGACTACAAAATTAATGAGACCCTCTAAAACTACGTCTGAGAGTAACGCCTGTTGCAACGTTTAAATTAGAATTCATACTAACCTATGCCTCACAAACTCTCAACAAAACTTTTGATTAATATATTCCATGCGACTGTCATACTTATTTTTATTTATAAAGTTTAATACGATTTATTTTAATACATACCTAGGCAAACCTCACATAAGTTTATAAGGTATTATTTTTAATTTTACGTATTTTTGTACTACCGAAAATAAGAAATAAAAAATATGATAATTACAGTAGCCCAGATCTGCGGCTATTAACCATAAGCTATTAATGCCCTTACGTCTGAGGGTGGCCAGGGGTGTTTTAAAGCCGCACAGGAGGATAACACAAGCCTTTATTAGTTGTACCGTGAAGCAATCTTGCCTCTCGGTCTGAAGGACGGAATATCTTTTATTTCAATTCAACTGGAACCATGAAGATGTATCTCAATATGTTTTTTTTCCTACCTATCATAGTAACCTCGAGGGTTATTTTAGGTTTTGAGCTAGTAAGTAGGTGAGCTCGTGGGGCTTAAACCGGGAATGTTGGTAACACTGGCCCTAGCATGAGCAGTGTGCTTAGTTGCGGTTAGCCGCAAATTTGTATGCAGTTGGAACAGCGCTGCTAGCGGCAAACGTTGCAACTCCATACAAATTGCATTAACTTTTACGCTATCGAGAACGTTAAAAAACTCGCACTAAGTACACAGTGCTTCGCAGAATCTATCACCGAATCGGAAACGCGACCCACTGAGAATCTCAATATGATTGGCTGTACCATCGATAATGGTGGGATCTGTTATTTTCGGTAGCCGGTCGAAACCAGGCAAATTCATCACCTTAAAAAATTTAAAAACTAATCAAATTATATCGAATGTATCAGTAACTTTGTTGAATATCCAAAACACGCTTACTTACACATCTAGGTACAATATAGTCTAAGTGGTCTGTCGCAATGTTTACTAAATTAAAACAATAATATGATCGCGCTATTGATTTTATCATATTTAATAATTATTTTTAATATCAAGGAGCAATGATATAAATTTTTTTACTGGTGGTAGGACCTCTTGTGAGTCCGCGCGGTTAGGTACCACCGCGCTGCCTATTTCTGCCATGAAGCAGTAAAGCGTTTCGGTCTGAAGGGTAGGACCGCCGTTGTAATTATACTGAGATCTTAGAACTTATATCTCAAGGTGGGTGTCGCCTTTACATTGTAGATGTCTATGGGCTCCAGTAACCACTTAACACCAGGTGGGCTGTGAGCTCGTCCACACATCTAAGCAATAAATAATAATAAAAAATCAATTTTTTTTATTGCTTGTGCGGGTGAACCTACAGTCCATTTGGTGTTAAGCGGTTATCGAAGTTCATAGGTAACAACATAAATGCTGTCACCTACCTTGAGACGTGATTTATAAGTCTCACTGCTATTGCTGCTCCATCATTCAAATCCGAAGGCCGCCGGTTTGTTCTGTTCCGCCGCAGAAATAGGCGATGGATGGTGGTAATCACCCGCGCGAGCTAACAAGATTCACTACTACATATAAGCATTTCATTTACAATTAAATTACCTAAATTACCAATTAAAAAAAAAAACGCAAGCCAAAATTAATTCTTCAGTTTGGGTGTTGACAAATAGAAATCACTGCTTCCGTTACGTGCAATATTCGAGTTAGCTAAACTTTTTTTTCATCTTTTTTTTTTTCAATATTTCTTGTGTGAAGACCTTGATTTGTCA